ATTCCTGTGGCTGCTTTTACATGTGCAAAGCTCTACATTGGTAGCATAAGTTGCCCCACACTTGGAGTACATTAGTGGGACAGCAAACGGTGCACCTATCATGGTAACAGTACAGACACGGACCAAATTGGTTCCTCTTCACCCTCCTACACTTGTCTTCTCGATTAGTTATACAGCACAAGCATGCTTTCTTCAATGCATTTAACTTAGAACTGTGTCACCACTTGAGGTCAGCATATCCACAGGACTCAACTGTGAAACCAAAGCAAAGCTGTACTCTGTAAATACATTTTTACAAGCTGGCTATTTTTGCATGTTTTGTTTAAAAAGGAGATCAATGTGGGTACAAATTCTTCTTTCAAAACAGCCAAAGAGAACTTCAGAATCTGCATTATGCAATTCCATTTTCATATTAAGGTAGTGTTGAAGCATGCAGTTGATCCAAAGAACCCCATTATTAGCTACAAAAATCCTTGCCATTTTTTAAAAGTTAACTTGTAATTCCTAAAGAATACTCCCCCTATTGAGTGGCTGTTGTATGCCTTTGTACCCTTTGGATATAGATCATAATGTGTTCAGTCACATGGGCAAGGCTTTACAGTAAATTCTATACAAAAAAAACAACACTCAGTTCTTGGTGACATGTAAACATTAATGTGGACCTCCAATATCCATCATCCACCTTCCAACCAGTACTTCCATCTTTCAGTGATGACTGTGGGGAGAGGAACGGAGAACTAGTATTCTTAGTGCATTGAATAGATTAATCTGCCCTGACACTAAGAAGGGAGGGGAGCACCACCGAGATGAACACAGCCATCCAGGCCCTTCAAAGACTGCTGCAGGCTGTATTTACTTTCCTAGGATGCTCCCATTCATCTGAAAATATCTTATTAAGAACACATCATTTTTCACTGCTCTGAGCCTCTGAAGCTGCACAGGGATGTGCCCAGGTATGATATACCTAGCTTTGGAGTAGGACTTTGTATCTCCAGTCTCCTGCCTGTTCTTGCCTTTATCTCATACGGGTATCACTGACACTTGAATCCCCATGACATCTCCAGCAGTGTGGAGTGGCAAGGAAGAGGGTGGAGCACATTTGTGTAGCAGATACATAGGCCAGCCAAAGAGCTGTAGTTATGCGGATATACTGCGTTTGTTACACTGTGTTGCACAGTGTTGGCCTGCCCTGAGTCCACTGCAGAGAAACAGCATCACTCTTGCTGGATTTTGCAACCTCTTCACCCCACTTCACCCCATTTAACTTTGTTTACTCAGCGTTAAGCTCACAGAACACTCTCATTTCCCATCTTGCCACTGATAATCTCAGTGGCAAAAAGACCCTGATACCCTACTAGAGATAATACTTAAAGAAACACAATGGAAAAGTACAGTATACTGGATCCTTCAACCTGAACACCTTTTTAAAAATGGGCGGAAGATATGGAGTAAGACTCAGTCCATTAGCCAGAAGAACCCCAGGTCTATTCATATCAGAGTCATAGTTAGAAACACACTCCTCTATCATTCAATACAGCTATATCTAACTCATGGAGGACAGCTGGAATGCAGGCAGGTCATGTCCAGTAGCTATTGCCAGCTGTGTAGGGGACAGAGTTAAGGTTTCTTTGTCACATGTCTTTCCACTGCATTTCTTGGTTTTCAAAGGTTTTGCTGAAGGAAACAATATACCACTGAGTGCCCATAATGCTTTGTTAAACATTTCTTTCTTTTTAGCAGTGAACAATTTTGCCATGGAGCTAGCTGCCATTCTTGTCAGCAGTTAGAAACAAAGACGTTCTAGCTTTCTAAAATCAAAGAAGATATTGTTTACAGACTACTGGTTAAGAGCAACAGGAACTTCTTAGTCATACCAGGATTTTGCTAGCCTGTACCCAATAAGTAATATTACCCTCAAAGTATGCAGGGACTTATGCACTATGTTCTTAACATGAGGCTTAAGCAGTAGATATGGTCTTGTGCAGGCCCTATGTATTGGGGAAAATTTGAGCCTGACCCGAGCAGCATCCTGTTTGCAGAGGCAAAGGCCAATACTTTAAATACACAAGAGCTTGTTTTCCAGTTAAATCTGCTTGGACTAATGTGTCATGCCTGCTATGTTTCTGACCTGGACTTTGGAACACATTACATAGAGACAGAACCTCTGCCTATCACTTGGGCCTCTCATGGCAGGGATTAAAACCTAGGGGAGTGGTGCAAGTCTTCTAAAAATGTAACCCTTATTGTCACAGTGTGACTCCCTGGGATACTTGGAGATCTCCCATATGCCAGTAGATTGTATAATTTGTGATAAAAAGATGAATGGGGGCCTATATGCAATTACTTTGTATTCAATAAAAATGGTCAGTTTGTTTTTTCATGCAAAAAAAGTACCTGCTGCGATGTTTGTTGTCTTTGAAGAAGTCTGGTGGCAAGCCAGGATGGAGCTAACTTCTAGGCCTTTACTTTTAATTCAGAGTTTTAACCCTGCCTGAAGGACTGAGGGTATGGCATATATTTATAGCCATTTCCAAAGGGGAGGGATGACTCTTGTTCTAAACTGCAGCAACTGTTATATCCTAACACTTGTGTGTAGACAAGCTGGGAACAACACATCTGTGGTAAAACAGCACCATCTTCAACACTGCTTCATCCATGGTTAAAGTTGGACTGGTTTGCTACATTTGTATTGTACCTGGCTTGTCCACAGGTAACAATTAGAATCTACCAGTTGGCACCCTTCTGAAATGTTTCAAAAGGGGAAACCCTTTTGAAATAGCTCCAAATGTACAGGTGTCCATACCCAACCACTGAAACTTGTAGCTTTGGTTCAGCAATGGTATTTTAAAGTCTTCCCTTCAGCTTCAAGGTTCAGCTTGTTTTATACTCATGATCCTTCACCATGTCAATCCCCATCTTGGGCCCTTTGTTGTGCCCACATCTTGAAGCATACCATTACAATGAGACAGAGAGCTAAGGCCTCCAGGGAAGTTGAGATGTTTGATGGGGAGGACAGAGTTGAGTTGGGAGAAGAGTGGGCTTTGGGTCAATACACCATTCTTTGCACTC